GAACGATCAATCTTAAAATGAATCATGTTTAATGATAAAACATAATCACTTATAAAGAATTTATTAGACATAAACTCATTAATCATTAATCTTAATCATATATTAATCATTATTCATTAATCACCGGAACATTAATTAATCAAAATACACAACACTGCTTTTAGTGGGACGACCCCGACCTCTCACACCAAAGTTACGAGTTCAAATCTCATCCCAGGACAAGTTGCGAATGACCCAAGAGTGTTAAAGTCGGATATAACGAAAAAGTACTGCTTTTATGTTTATGTTAAGTACTGCTTGACTGATTATTACGACAACAGTAAATCGAATAATTTCAGGCACATTTGAAGTTTGCTGTAAATATTGGAAAATGATAAGGGAAATGATGACATAGGCCTTTTATCGTTATGGAGGTAAACGAAGCTTTAACGACCATCCACATTTCACATCCGTTTGCGTTGTGTTGGCATAAATGTGACAATCAGACAATAGATTGAGCTGTCACCGCAAAGCGTCAGATCTATAATCGCTATGTTAATAGTCTTGCGGATATAATCTCGAGAACAGATTGAGCTGTCAAATATCGGAACCAATCAAGCAAATCACGACCTACAACAGAAAAGAGCACATCAACTATTGTGAACAAAACTTCGGAAACCGTTTTCACGTGACTCAAAGGTCGCCTACGCAAACTAACACCAGCTATGGGTTGGGCAAAGTTTCCCCTATCCGATGATACTGGTAATTTGCGTTCGATTGGCGAGGGAAGAATAATCAAGGTTTTGTTTATAAAAGTTGATAGTACTTTTTCAATTGTTGGTCTACAATATATTGAATTGATTCCGCAATATATTGAAAAGGCCCTTGGAACTCTGCTCGTGATAAACTTAGAATTCTCTTTTCTTTTCTTCTTCTTCTAGAAACTCTCCTTCTTGGAATCCTTCTTAAGTTGCCTTTTTAAAAATTTAGATCCATTTGAAACTCTTCTCAAAATTTTCTTTAAGGGGTTACGCCACCCTAGAATACAGAAAAATGCACCAACTTCATTATTTTTTTTTTTTGTTATTTAATAAAGTCACATACTAAATTAACTTATATGGGCTTATAGTACACATAATTAGGGGTGCTTACAGTATTTTTTCATAAGGGGAAACCATGTGTGGCAGTTGGCAGCACTGCGAGTTCCTGGCACTGCTTCCCGTGTAGTGTTACGCGGCCCACACTTTCTTCGTCGTAAATATGAACCTAGAACAGAGTGGTTTTTCTTATTTTATATAAGAATACCTAGAGAAGTACATACGGAGATGAAAAACTTTTGAATTTTACGCAAATGGGACTTGTTTTTGCAAAAAAATCAGTTTTTTCGCCTGAAATTTGTTTCTAAAATTGTTTACCACAATTTTTTGATCAATTGAAAAGTTCGTATGTACTTCTCTAGATAATTAATCAGAGAATGCAATCGTCAAAGTCTAGATCAAATTGAGTCAAAATTGCAGATGCTATCGTGTGGGCCGCGGAGAGAAATGTTGTATCGAAAAAAAAACGCGGTTGAAGTTTGAGGTACAGATTCAGGTGCGTGATGCAAAGTTTTGTAATTTCGCTTATAACTTTCGGAATTTTAATTTGTTCGACATGGAACCAATTGTCCCTTATTAGGTACTCTGAAGTGTCATAAGTTATGTAAAAAAAATCGATTTTTTGAAAATCCTAGGGTGGCGTAACCCCTTTTAACTCAAAACTCATCAGAAATTCTACGGAATTCTTCTGAATTTTCTTTGAACTTTTCTTAAGAATTTCTTTTAAATTCTCCTCCATTTTTTAAAACCATTTTGGTTTTTTTTGGGCCCGTTCAATGTCTTTCCTGAACCATCCTCAGTCTTCCTTTTCATTATCCTCAGAATACCATTTTAATTCTGCTTATAATTCTTTTTGAACTTTTATCTCAGTTCTCTTGGAATTCTCCTTAAAATCATCCTGCTATTCTCCCCTGATTCCCAATACATAATGCTTAGAATCAGCTACGAATCCTATTCAGATCTTCCTTTCTTCTACACATAAATTTCTAGGACATTATTTCTTAGGACATTATCTCAAAATTATCTTGGAATGTTGGTAAAACCTCCCTTAGAATTTTTCGAACATTTGTTCGGAATTTCTTTGGAATATGAAACTAAAGTTGTGCCCGACAACAACTCAGCTGGACGAGACTCTTCGAACTGTGTCTCAAAGTTGGCACACTACTGGGCAAACTGGATGGGCTACGTGGACTAAAGGGCACTCAAGCTTTCAAATGAACTGAAACACCGATCGGATCAAATTAAACACCGATCGGATCAAATTGAGAATCCGGAACAATTACGGAAATGGCGGATTTTACAAGGCTGGCCTTGTCGGAAAGATGACGGTACCACTGACTAGTCTACCGGTGACTACAGCGAGATGGCGGTTGGACAAGCGTATCTAACGTACGTCGGCTGTAGTGCGATGGGGGTTGGTTTTAGTTGGTATAGCGGTTTATGGAGATAGTTCCGATGCACAAGCGCTTCCTTCTGACGGAGCCGATCGGTGACCTTACCGTCCCCTCTGTCGACCTGGGGAAGGGAAATTCTCCTTTACTTGTCCTTTACGTTTGGGTAAAGGCAACTAAAACTCCACCTAGACCGTAGCGTGCAATGGCGGTCCTTGACTCGCCAACCAGATATTGATTTGATTGAATGAAAAAGGTCCTAGCGAGGAGGTAACGTTCATTAGCGCCATTCTTCGAACAAATTCGAGGAAGGCTTAGAATTTACCTGAATCAGCGGAATTTTTTATTTACACTTCAACTGATTCACTACTCGCACTTGATATTCTGTTAAAAGTATACTCCACAGACACTTCTGGTCTACACGCTCGTCTGCTAGTAGGGTGTTACCAGGGGCCTGGCTGGCAGCCATGTTTTTGATGCTTTCATCTGCTCTTGTCTTTCTGCTTACAACACGATTTTGCGTCCCTTTTCTTCATGTATACGTCAGGTATTTAAATAAGGCCCGTGATCGTGCCTACTGTCAAACGCATAGGATTGATATGGGGTTGCCAGTCCCCTGGGTGTTACGCATTGTCTGACGTTCGTTTGCTTCTGCCGTTGCCTCATTGGAAGCAAACAATTGGACATGTCGGTGGAAATAAAACTGACTATTGGATTCAGCTTCGCAGAAATCAGTGCAAAACTCTCAATGTAGGTAATTGCGACATTTGTGAAAGCGCTGGATGCAAATTCCACTAATCGAGTTCATAGCAGAGAAATCAATGCTTCTATTGCTTGTTGCACAACCGTGAACAATTAAAGTTCCCTTTATGCCGATGGTGCCTCGACTGATTAACGCATGTCTTCTGTGGAGGGCACCGTTTAGTACGTGACAATTTACGACCTACCAAATAAAGAAGTCCCGTATAATGATCTCTCGTTGGTGCTGGTGAAACACGGTAATTTTAAGCGTGTAATTCGGTAAAACAAACCAACCCGCCTTGAGCCTCGATATGCTGACAAGAGTACGGGAAATTTCCATTGACGGAAAAAAAGAGAGTCCTTACTCGCTGCATTTCCTCAATCGGAAGAGGAACATATTCTACCAAAGGAACAATATTTTTTTGTCCCAAGCGCAAGGAACGGAAGCAGCCAGTACAGTGCAACAACAGGAAGAGGAAAACAAACAACGGAACGAATAAGAAACCAGTGCCAGTACGTATGCTGGTGTAGTGAATGGAGGTGTGTCATCAATGGAAAATAACGATAAAGACACAGAGGAAGCGGTTGAAGTGCTGGAAGAAGAGATAGTGGAGATGGATGTGACGTCCCCGGATTTCAACAAGAAGAATATAGAGGAAACAACCGCTGCTGAGAAACAGCAGCCGCCTGTTTTCAACATCGAAACGACGCGTATTACTACTACAAATTTGCGATAGTGGATAATACCCTAGACAATACCCTACGTCAATTATACAAGACCTGGCCCAACCGGCCTATTGATATTAGTGAAATGTGGAAATGTTTATTGGTGTTCGTATTTTATAGCAATGTTTGTCACACACAAAACAGCTGTTTTCTAGGAATTTTCAGGGTTGGAAAATTTCTCGTCTTCCCTGGACATAGAGTATGATTGTACTTGACACACAATTATACTAAGGGGCTTTTCATTAACTACGTAGACAGTTTTTTGGGATTGTTGACCACACCTTCCCCATGCGTAGACAATTGTCCATACATTTTTTTTAATTTGTGTGAGCCGTGGATAATTGTACTTAAACTGTATACGTAGTTTATGAACAGCCCCTAATGCAAAAACGGTACAGGCATCGAAAGCTCTCAATTAATAATCAATGGAAGTAAATCTAGAACACCAAGCTTGAAATGAGAAGAAGAAGAATAAGAAGAAGAAGAAGAAGAAGAAGAAAAAGCGGTGGGTGCTGCTGAAGGAAAAAGCAAGAGAGTTGAGGGCACCACTGAAAACGAAAGCTAAGCTCAAGTCGCCTCTCGGGAAGAGTAATTAATTAATTAATTTATCTTTATTATGGAGGCTTTCAGCCTGGGGCTGGTTCGCCTCCACGCGGGAAGATTAAGAATAACTCCTAAACATTGTACCTCATTAATATTTTATTGTTATTAATTTAATATTTACTGGTTTTCGGCTCCGTGGAGTCCTATATCCAAGAGCCTAACAAATAAACTAATTGGAAGAAAAAATTCAGAATGCTCATCTACCCACACAGTAATACAGCGAAATGAACATAAAATCTTTTCCCAATGTTATTCTCAATTAATTTTCAAATGGTCAGTAAGACCATAAATAAGATTAAACATGAAATGAACTCCAATTTAGAATCATTTTCGCAATGTTCCAGCGAGGACGTTATAAGACAGGAAGAAGAAATCACACTTAAAACTAAATAAGAATCTGTCACATCAAATATAATAGCATTAAACATAATTTGAATCAATCTTTTATTGAATCACATTCAGGAAGAAAGTTTAATATTTAGTATCCATGCTTCTTGTATCCGTGTTGGTGTTCATGTCCCTGTAAATGAAAATAGCACTATGAATCGGAAACGTTCAGCTGCTTCAAATCGACTTACGTGTCCACCAGAACCATGTCCTCCACCCAAACCTTGCTGTCCTTGGGCAAACCCAAGAGTTCCCGATCCAGCTCCGTGTGAACCGAACCCTTGCTTACCACCGGAACCTCCGAATCCTTGATCACGACCTCCTCCATGTCCTCCTCCGAATCCCTGTTGACCGTGTCCTCCTTGACCAAATCCTTGGCCTTGCTGACCATGGCCTCCTCCTAATCCTTGCTGACCATGACCTCCTCCAAATCCTTGCTGGCCTCCTCCAAAGCCTTGCTGGCCTCCTCCTAATCCTTGCTGGCCATGACCTCCTCCAAATCCTTGCTGACCTCCTCCAAATCCTTGCTGACCTCCTCCAAATCCTTGCTGGCCTTGTCCTCCATGACCCGCTCCTAGAATATGTTAAGAGTGCATTTTAAAATTGTTAACTGTTTTTATTGTTTAAGTAAATTAAAATCACTGACATATATTTATTAGTAACAATGTTTTCTATTATTCATATTATTAATAAACCATTTATTTCTTTTCTCAACCCACAGCACTATGTTTTGTTAAATTTCCGTTATAAGAGCTAATGTCACTTAAGGGTCACTCACATTAGATCCGTTTGCATTGCATTGACGTACATTTGACAGTTAGACAATAGATTTAGCTATCACTTTTCCGCAACGCGTCAGATCCGGATCTAATGTGGGTGACCCTTGATGGCAGCATAGAAATTTGATCTCGTGATGTCCAGTGTGATTTACATAGATGTTAGCCACATTGCTCCTGAGATTCACAAACAGGAACAGAATCGAAATAAAAGTAAATCTACCAACCTCCACCTTCTTTATGTTTGAAACTGTTTTTATCAAAACCACCCTGACCCTGACTACCTCCGGAACTGCTACCATATCCTCCTCCTGCGTGTGCCATGGAGACTGCTACAACAGCAAAGACCGCGAAAAACTGTAACGAAAAAATATTTAAAAATTAATGGAGACTGTACAACAGCAAAGACCGTGAAAAACTGTAACAACATTTGACAGATTTGCTTTATAAAGCTGATCAATCAAGTATGGTGTTTTGCGGTTTTGTTAATGGAATGGAAAGTTGAATGAGTTTTGTAGCAGTGGGTGAATAAATGCTACATTTTATTCTAAAGAAGTTAGAACCTTTTTGGACGTAAGTATTTGGTCTCGTTAGTGGTTAGTACAATACTAGCCTACCAAATAAAAAGGTCTGTTATCAATCGAGTAATATGGACAATATTCAAATCTTCGTATATTATATTTTTGATTTACTTTTGTATCTTGGAATTCACTGTTGTCCGAAACGGCAATTAATCAGGAAGACAAGATTGACGCAGATTCTATTCATTTTGCGTGGTTGGTTGGTATCTTCGTAGAAGTATAGTCACTATATTCATAGTCAGGTGGATACAAAATCCTGCATACTGGCAACTTTGGTTTTTGTACTCAAAATCTGGCACCCCGTGAAAATGCTCAAACCTTTTTCAAGCAGGACTACAGCCATTATTTACAAATGCAATTACACCCCTTTGAATTGTTGGCACTGAATTGACGTTTGAATCTTTGTTTATAACAGTAGATTCACGGATAGAAATCTCCTTATATCTTTTGGCAAATTTCTATTGCTGATTATTCATAAAATGTATAAGTCAACTAATAAGCAGACGCCTTGCAAAAAATTAATGAAGATCATGTGTCAAATAAAATGTATAAGCGGTCACACATACCTAGCGCGTAAAATAGAGGACAAAAATCATGGCTACTATGTCACACTGCAGAATACAGTGTTGCTCACAATTCAGTTGCTTGATCATGCCATAAGATTATCAATCTCTTAAACATATAATAACTATTTAATTTGATGTTTGACTGAAAAACAATATTCCGCAAAGTTTCCCCATAGTAATTCCCATATAAACTTCAAATGGTTTGTGCACAGTCAGTTTCTTACCAAATCAGTTCAAACCTTGGGAGGCTAACCTAGACCCGATTTGGAACCGTTTGAGCAATGTGGAGCGAAAATGTCAAGTTTTGCATCAGTCTAGTGACCATTATACATTTCATTTGACACATGATCTTCATTAACATTTTTGCAAGGCGTCTGGTTTTTAGTTGACTCATACATTTTATAAATCAGCAATAGAAATTTGCAAACAGGTATAAGGAGATTTCTATTCGTGTAAGTTGGGAGAGACGTGTAGACAAATGAATCTAATAGACTTGTCAGTTTTGTCTGATCTGGGTTAACTCTGCTCAAATTTGGATGGTTTTGAAACAGAGTGTAAAGATAGTTTCCTGGCTTAAAATAAATGTTGTAGGCCAGTTCGGTAATACTAAATGCTATCTACGACTTGTACCAAATTTTTTTTTTCGCAAAAGGTTGCAATTTTGTTCAAAGTTTCCGATTTTCTGCATACATAATTTATCACCGTAACTTTTTTTACTAGCGATATCTGTTGCGAGATGCTGGCAATATATTTTAAAACGATTCACATGGTATTCTATTTTGAAAATATTTCTGAAATAGAGAGCATGTGCGAAACATGATGCTCGACACCTTATATATTACTCACTGTCGAAATGTCTGAACTGATAAGACCAGCATTGTTTTTTTTAAATTAATCAAATGGCACATGTCTATCACAACAGCTGTGTTTGCATACATATGTGCGCCATAATTCTTGGAGGAATCATCATGCTACACACTTAGATTTTTTTGTCGAGGTTGGCACCACCAAGCAGCTCGGCATTTTATTTGGCTGGATCTCTGGAAATGCTATCTAACATGAAGCTTTAGTGTGATAATTTATTAGCTAGAGAATGTTCTTAAAAGGGGGTAGGTAGACAGTTCCGTTAGAGTACGGTAGTATGAAAATGGAATAGAAGTTGAAAATGAGCGAAGGGCCATTAATGCGACAGTGCAAGTCAAACGCACTATTCAATTTTCATACTACCGTACTCTAGTGGAACTATTAACCTACCCTCTTCTGACCTTTCTGATGTTGGCATAATGACATTCAAATTTACGGCGTTTTGTTTGATGGGAATCGGCCCAATCAGAAAAAAATAAAACAATTAATAGCGTTTAAGGATTTGATTCGTAAAGTGGGCTACGGATCTTCCGAACGGCCACATTGTAGTCATTTTGGTTAAGCTTCAGTTAACTTTCTTAAATTCGTGCATTGACATTGGCAAAACTATATTGATTCAAACCAAATTACAGCGGTTTATGTTCTCCTTTGTGAAGAACGACGGATGCTGCGAAAAGTTCGTGGCAATAGATGATATGGATTAAGTGCACAGATTTAATTACACACAATTAACACGGTTTATTTTGATTATGAAAATCTAAAGAATAGAATTGTTTCTTGCAACGAATGGTTACTGATTGCAGAGGATACAAACATGTTGGGTTGGAAATTGCTGCGGAAGTCAATCAATTACAAAATTAACTTGGCAAACTACTTTTTCACTGATGCTTAAAATTTGGACTGAATTTCATTCAGACTAACACGTTACAGCTCCCTAATCTGAACATTGCATTAATTTACTGATCAAATTCTGAACAGTTTTCAAACAAATTTGGATCATTCGAATTGAAATATTGGATTCAAGCTGCAACGAGGATTACGAAGGATATAGAGACTTCTTTTTCCTTTCGAAATTTTCAGTAGATCACGTTGAAGAGCAGAGCGAGAAGCTTGTCAAGAGATGAGAACTCTTTAATGCCATTCGTTGCACCTTTAGGTTTTCACTTCAATTAGGCATAATTTATTCATCAATCAAGTTGTCATTTTCAACAATATTAATCCTACGACCAAAATTGACCTTGTTTGGTTGAAAAAAGCTCCAACTAGAAATTTAAGGCAATGATCTATTAAATATATATAAAAAAACCCTCAGTTTTAAAATCTATGAAAACTTAAGCTTCACAGAAGAAAGAAACTTCCATCTATTTTCAAATTCTAACGGACGCACATCACGGGTTCACTTCAGTTCGTACCATAAACTTGTTCATTTTATAACACAGGTTGTTGATCCTCTGTTCCTGGCTCTGGAAGATTCCCACTGCGCGAATATAATCAACTGGTGTTTCGAGTACGATCACTGTCTAGGGCGGGTTTCACTCTTGCACTGAACTGATCCGCAAGGTTCGATAATGGTTTTTATAGACAGTTGCAATCCAGTTTGCTTCCTTCTGATCATGTAGCGCCAATCGAATTCTGATTGGGAATTCCTTCACACATACACACACCTTGATTAATGTATCCCGGTTCTGTAGGTACATACCAACTATGTGAGTAGGGATTACTTAGCAGAAAAAGCGTTTAATTATGTGCCCGTAATCGCGAAGCGTACAAGAAGATGCAGTCAAGTATGAGTTACTTCTGCTTTGATTCGGTCATTCTTATTTGTTCTCAAGTTTGTTAGTTTATTTGTTGCCTTTTAATCAACCCGTCACTCATGGCGTTCGAATGAATGTATTTTAAGCGTCATTGGATGACTCAAGTCCTCAAAATTTTGATTTACATCCTTGTTTATATTGATTGCAATAGTCGTCACTCTAGCCATTGTTTCTTCGGTCATATCCTTTCTACAAAATTGTTCGCAAATTATAGTGATCAAATAAAATAAGAAAAGATCAAACTGTCAGGGAGCAGGATTCTTGTTTCTCATGACCACATGAGCTTATGTGCAAATTTACAGCATTGGACGCTAAATGTTAAGGTGTGATTTTTTTGGTAATTTCATAACATTAACATTTTTCTAACCAAATCTTAATGTATTTTCTACAAACCTCACAAAGAAATCATGAAAAAAAATTGTCAAGTTTCGATCAAATATCGTCTGTTAAGGCATATGAAATTTTTGTTATGTGTTTCTTTTTTTGTTTTATTAAGGGTTTTGTTTTTAAATAATGTTGTATCCTCTCCAATGTATAATCTTAAAACTTTTCTATTATGTCCTAACAATGTTTTTTTTACTATATAGCCTCTTAAAACCCGCCATCTTGAAAAAGGCTTGATAATGTAGCTTTCAAGATTTAGCATGGCAAGCAGTGTTCGAAAAAACTCAAAAACTCAAATCTGATGCATGTGTGTATGCGCCTTGCGTCTTTCCTTCCAAAATTCAACGTCGCAAAAATCACCGATAAGTTTTCAGGTTCAAAAAATCATTTCTTTATATGTCGGTGCAATTTGTTCTTATTAATATTTTTTGTGCATCAGAGGTTGGAAAACAAACACAACATGCATAAGGTCGTTCGCAATGCTGTTGTATTTTAAAAGGACTGTTTCAATTTGAAACTAGAACAGAAACGCACCTCTCGCAATGCTGAGTAGCAGTTTCATTATTCGAGCACTATTTTGCACCAGATTTGCAACTGCTCGACTATTCTGTTTTATTTCTGAGCGAGTTTGAAACACGAATGAAACTCTGTTTCAAATTACTTTGGGTGTGTTTAAAGATGTTTCGAAGAGCTTCACAACCAAAAAACGGAGAATTTCATAGAGAACAGTAAAATTTATGAAACTTGATGATTACAAACATCTTTCAGAACTGTGCGTTGCGCTGATCGTTTTGCCGTTTTATTTTTGACAGTTTCAAATTATAGAATTGTCGAGTAATTTAAAACAATTTCGAAACTCAGCATTGCGAACGGCCTAAACATGCAAACATTTGACGTTTGAGTGGTTTTTATCTAAGAGGAAGAGGAGACAATATACACAGCAAAAAAATTTGAATTTTAATTGTAATGTAAACATTTATACACGTAAACTTGTGTTTCATTAAACGCACACGAGCAACTTGTATACAATGTTGTTTACAAAGATGGGCTTTTGTATACAATATGTGCAACATTTCATGAAATGTCTCTGAACTTTACACGATTTATAATGTAAATTTATATGATATATGACACTCCATTTATGTGCATCACATTCAACAGAAATTTACACTACTTTTTCGAACCGTGGAGGAGTACTTTTATGAAACAATTTTCTGTCAAACGTTAACTGATTGATCGGGCGAACGTATAGAAAAGGGAGAATTTTCACAACAGGGAATCTATTTTCTTGTATTTTGACAGTTGACTACGTCGCCCACAATGATATTGCTCCATGGTAACAACAATCCATACGAAACTAACGATTTTGAATTAGCTCACTACTTGACTAGCCTATTGGTCCCAAGCAAATCGATTAAGGCACCCCATTCTAATCGAAACTCTAGTACTTCACAATGTTTGTTTTGATTCGCTATGAAAGTTTGACAGATAAAATGATGTGATCCATTATTGGAAGTATAAAAAATACTCGTTCTTTTACAGACGGGGTAAGACGAACCATACCGGGGTTTTCAACAATCACTGCACGAAATTGGACGTTTGTACACTGAAACCGATTTTTAAGCGAGATGCCATGCATTAATTGTCATGAGGAAAACTTAACCACTCCCTCCCCTTTCGTCACCCGTTTAGAGCGTGACATAATTTATACATCACCGTCAAGGGATATGCACCGCGTAAAAAATCGCTTCAAAACCAGTATACCGAGATTGATAAATTCACATTCCTACTAAAATATTTTTAAATGTTTGGAGTATGTTGTGAAAATTGTGATTTTTTAAGTACCTATGCCATTTGATTTCTTTTTGCTCAAAACGAATAATATGATTGGAATCAGAATCGAAGTAGTCCTCGTAGAAAAACGGACGTGTTCTGGTTTTTCTGTGGTTTTTTATTCGTCTGCTTAACGAATTTGTGCTTCGAAATGAATTTTTGAAACGAAAATGGACACGTGTGCTTTTTTTTTAATTTTTCAAGAAAAAATAGGACATTTTCAATTCGGTTATCTGATATCTTCGAGTGCTCTCAGGGCATGTAATGCCGGGAAAATAGTGTCATGTGAGATAGTTGAGGGGGAGTAGCGTTGGGAATCTTCCGGAACCATATAGATGGTAGGATGGAATATATTCCAACAGTGCGAGGACGGTGAATACCCAGTGTCAGAAAAACGTAAAGCAAAACTATCAGAACATCAGGATCAGGGTTGAAAAAGTTCGCGATATTTCACTAACCATGGGAAAAGTTCACGAGACATAGTGAGTTTCGATGCTATTTCTTTTCAGAAAACTAGTATGGCGCTATAACTAATGTCGTTTTTGTTTTTGCGGTGTAGCACTGGTGCAGTGTAAGCAGGAATAAGCGCGAGTCTTTGACAGCTCAACATCATTTGTTTGTAAACAAAGGTGCATTCTATATCTACACCCTAAAATATTTCGGTGTACGGCAGTGTAGCACCGGTGTAGCTACACCGCAAAAACGAAAACGACATAAAAGTCGTGTAGCTAGGACGCGGCTAGGACAACAGTTAGTGCTCAAGTCCCATCCGACAAAGGAAAGATCGAAGTGTGCGCTGCTTCTAACCGGACACGAACAATTTTCGGCCGTCAAATTACTCGTGATTTTTTTTCATCGTCGTGGCTTTGCGAGTTTTATCTGGAGACGATTTTAAAGCTTTTTAACATTAATATTTTTGAAGAATAGTTCGCGAGTGGTCGAACAAATTATAGGGGAAATGTATGTAATGTCGGCCTAAGTGTCCCTAATTTGGGCCCATACATAAATTCAGCAAACGACTAAATTTTCAATAGCAACCAAAAATATCCATTAGTACCGTCCCAATGACGCGTTCATCTAGATACAATTGATAAATAGCAGATTTTTAGCGATGGGCCCAAAGAAGTTTGCACATTGTAGGCGAAATACGCGTATCTGTCAAAAATAAGCAAATAAGGTGGTGAAATTAAATGGAAATTAATAATCCTTCTCTCTCTCATGATTCGTCACCTATTCAAGGGAGTGTTTAGATGTCAAGATCGTTCTGCTAACGGTTTTATATTACTGGAAACATTGGATTCATATGGTGAGACCTTTACATTATTAGCATTTTTTTAAGAGGCACACCAACTCACCCCCACACCAAACAACTCTCATCAAGAGCCCCCTGGTAATGGAGTCCTCGTTAAGATTTCAATTTAAAAATAAATAGGGTTAACTACCCCATTTTCAGCCTATTAAGCACAACCCGCACTTAGTCTTTCTTAATCTAGCGCAATTTAACACCAAACGGAATGTTATTATTACTGATGGCTTCCAAACTTATTTACCTTTCCGTACGTACCGTAAGATTTGATAAAGAGAAACCAATCGTTGAGATATTGTCAAAAGTCTAACACTGCTTCTTCCAAACTCGGCCTACGGATTCTAAACTCGGCCTAACGCATTGAAACGCCATTGAAACGTCAATGAATTCACTTCGGTCTATCGGATGAAGATAAAAAGTGATTCGGTCGGAGCGCTTCTTTTGTTTTTGGGAATAATGGGTGCAAACCTTCATATCACGCGTTCTCATTGACTTCGTTCGGTAGCTTATTAACTAAAGTATCGTACCAAACGCATAATTGACTTGTTAACTCTGAAATCATGGATTTCTTTGAAGTTTTCTGCTCGATAGGCCCAAAATGGACGATTAGGCCGAACTAGTTCTGTACCCTATAAGAATTAGAAGGAATAGTAACATATGCTGATAATTTGAAGGTGTGTGTGATGAGCTATCTATAAAAAAAAACAAAGTTAATAATGTTGGGATGTTCCCAGTGGAACTAAGTTCCTTTAAAGGGATCCCTTACATGTAAACATAAATGATTCAAAATATTAATATATACAGCTTAATAGTGAGTGTAATACAATGATAATAATCAGTGCAATTCTTATAATATAGTTTACGAATTTATATCAAGAGTTCATTAAATTTTGCTTTGTAATGTTGTTTCACACTGGTTTTAAATAGCAATCGATCGTTCACAGTTGACCAAGGCATGTAAATGCCTTCGAAATAATAATTTTTAAACATCGATTTTGCAATACTTGAAGCTTTTTCATCTTAGCTTTGCATGTGGTGCATGTCCCCAAACAATGATTAGGTATTGATATCTCTGCAAAATATCTGTTTGTTAGCTGATATCTCAGCAAAATGTTATTTGTTAGCTGAGTCTCGGCAATTGTTTCACTGAATCTCAGCAAAATATATTGCAGAACAGCTGGGCTGTAGGAACCTCGGCGAAAAAAATAAGTGTGAAGGGATTCCGTTAAGAGG